ACAATTGCTGTTGAGGTTGATGGGGCCCTTAGATTAGGATGCACCCTGAATGCCCTCCATGGATTTAATCCAGCTTTCTAGAAATTGGAGGAGAGGGAAACCCTTGGACAGAACCACACCAGGCAGCAGGGATTATCTGACCTGAGAACACCTTGGAGAGTTGGTAGACATGGCTTTGGAGAAGGCTTAACCATAACCCCTACCCTAACCCTAACCCTAACCTTGCCAGTTTTACCCAATGCTAGGAGCGGAACTTGAATTATAGACACAAATAATTGGTGTCTATAGACTGGTGTGAGTTTAGTGGAGAGTCCAGAGGAAGGAAAACCAGAATAGAATGAGCACAGAGAGATACTTGATGAATGGGTAAATTTGTATTTTATGTTGATTTGAACAGAGTCACTCTAAATGGCTGCCTTGTTCAGTAGGAGTTGTCACCTGCTTCTGATCGCTGCAAATCTTATGTGCTACCACAAATGTGCTACCACAGAATCATGTACTTATTCACCCCATCAAGAGGCTATCTGTTTTTAGATTTAGATGGTGGTGTCAAAGTCTCACTAAACTGAAGTATATCCCAGACTAGGACTGTGTGTAGAGCAGAGATGGAGTGCTCGAGTCCTGGACTCGGACTCGAGTGCCGATTTTCGGGACTCGTGACTCGACTCTGACTCGTGCACTGATTGACGCGACTCGGACTTGGACTCGTGAATTCTCGCGTACGCTGACTTGGACTCGGACTCGTGAATTGTTCCCCCCACGATCAGTGGTGTAGTGGGCGTTGGGCGCATGATCTTTTTTTTAATAGTCTAATATAAAATTATTGCCAGTGTTATCAGTTGCAAGTGTGTATTTGTTGTAATAATGACAAAAACATAATACATTTCACAGTAATTATAATAAAAAATAAAAACGATTTCCTTAAAAAATGATGATTCGGCATCACGCTCGTGACCCCGCAGCGAGCTGGGGGTGTGTCCGTGATGTGGCAACAGCTCTTTCCCTCAAGAACGCTAACGAGAAAGCTCTACAATGGCAGGCAAACATTCTATACTTGACTTATTTTCTAAAAAGAATATCATTCAAAAAGAAAGAGGCTAGCAGCACCGAAGCTACAAGTGAAGCTGCTACTAGTACATCATCAGAAGAGCCGCCTAAAGATGTGGATAATGCTAGCACTAACGTCAACGTTAGCTATGCTAGCAACGTTCCCCTAGCTAGCTCAAGCTCACCTTTCCCAGATGCATGGATGGAGGAGATGTGGCAGAGGAAACAAGAGGAATACCCGTGGATCAGTGGCGTAGCCACCATAGGGCCAGGGTGGGCCCAGGCCCACCCAGTTTACTCATTGGCCCACCCTGAGAAAGCTTCAGTGTCATTTAAATTTTATTTAATTTTTTTAATTTTTTTATTATTATTATAAAAAAATGTATTCACCCATTGAGAATATCCAAGAATTNTGGCGGAGGAAACAAGAGGAATACCCATGGATAGACTGCAAAGCTGGGAAACTGGGCTGCAAAGTTTGTTCATCCATTTCGGATTTATCAGTCTTCAAAACGCAATGTGTGTGTGTGTGTGTGAAAAAAAAGCAGCGCAGTCTGCTTATTTGCAATGTAGGCTAGGCCTAATCAGAATAATTTCAAGTCCAGATTCAATGTTGTTTGCATAAGTAGGCTATATTTTTCGTTTCGTTTATTTAATAAGTTATTTTCAGGACAACTTTGGGAATTTCATTTGTTTGTTATGAGTTTTAAATAGATTTCGAAAGTAGAGAGAGAGAGAGAGAGAGAGAGAAGCAGCGCTGATAGGCCT